AGCTAGGCGAAAACAGCAAACATTTATTTGTGCATCTTCTTGCATAAATAAAACCCTGCTGATTTGCTTTGATGGCATTTACGACCACATTTATTCATAAACATTAGAGTGAGCAAGTTTTTATTTGCAGGAGCGTTCATAGAAAACAAAAGCGTCGTGAATTCTGGTGTGAATAAATACCAGAGAGCTCTCACACGAGCAGGGCTGCTGCAGTCATTAAGTAAAGCTCTTTTTACTATTCACACCGTGGATTCAAACAATTACAGCTGCCCGTGAACTGCTTACAAACAGGGAAGGGAACTGGTGATAAAGCTCCCTTCATCCAATTAGGGAACAGAAACCATCTCTTGATGATACCCAAACTTGGAATCAAATGATGAGTACTCAGGGCTCAATCCTGACTCCCTCAAAAGCCTCTTTACATCCTTTTGTCAATGCAAATAAGTCACCAGCATTTTAAGATCCCTTTATAGAATGTTGGCACGGCCTAATGAAGACAGCGGGAGGTTGTAACACCTTTGTGCTGCCAGAAAGCAGCATCAGGCTAAAAGAAGCTCCAGCCATAGGGGTCCCATAGGAGAGTTAATCTGAAATCCTGCCATGTGTTTATTATACCTCACCATGCTCCAGAGCCTTCCATGCAGCGCTAGGGAAACGCACTCTACACATTGGGAAGACGAAATTCATCCATAATCCCGCAGTAACCCACTTTAGGGTGGTAAAGGACCATAAAGTAACCCGGTGTATTCTGCCCTCTTGGAGGCTCCTCCCAGCCCAAGGAGAGCTGGTGCTCCAGCCACCCTGAAACGCTGTATTGCCTTGGATGGAATGGTTGCATAAACAGAACGTGGGGCGGGATGGATTTCAAATCTGCTGTTTGTATTAATTTGTGGCATTATTGACCTTTCATCAGTCACCGACAGTTGCTTTTCATTCCATCATTCCAGTTAAGAGGTTGTCAATAACCATGGAAATAAATCAGGTCTCCACAGTGAGTCCTTTTCTTACTGTAATTAACAGCCCACGGGAGATCCCTGCCCTGCCTCCCCAAACACCCTGTTGTGTCCTTCTGGCCGTGTTGTGCATAACCGAACCGCTCGCCTGCTACTCGGCACCAACGCTTCTGGCTTTGGAGGGGCAAGTTAAAGAAAAAAGGACCACACAAAAGGCTTACTTCCCTTACAATAAACACTTTGTAAGCCAAGGGCAAGGGCAAAACCCAAGATTGGGCCTGTTGCTGCCTCCCTAGCACAGCTGGGCAGTGACAGATTGCCTCTGGCCACTGCTCAGGGGAGGAGGGAGATTCCTTCCTTCACATCCACACTCTTTTCCAACTGTATTTTCATACTGATTGCTGATAAATGAACCTGATGCTCAAGTGCTAGTTAATGTCAGTAGACCAACCACTTGTTTGCTGTTACTGCTTTAACTAAGGAGCATGTCACCACATGAAATGTCGCTCAGGTGTATTTACATCACTCGAAAAGTGCAAGGTGGTGTAGGCTCCTCTGGGAGGCAGTGAACTCCCCACAAACAGATCCAGACTCACACAGCCTTGCCTTGTCCAGAAACCAGGGAAGAGCAGGTTTTATCCATCACGAGGCCACTGTTGGCTTTGAGAATTAGGTGAGGGATGCGTGGTGTCACCTCAACACCAGCTGTACGACACCATTGTACCGGTAAGGAAATCCAGTAGCTGCCTTCACGTAGTTCGTACAGTTCCCCACTCATATTCCTGTCATTCAGGGGTGTCCAATTAATACTGAGGAAAAAACATCATTGCCAAGGGAGACGTGCTTATGGGACCCCCGCCTCCCTGTTCTCACAGGAGCAGAGCTGCAATTAAAAGCTCAGGCTTTGAGAAGAGCTACTCTGTGCCCCCCTCCCTGGTACGTGCAGTCTGGTTCTGTCAGACAAGCGAGTAATCAGGCAGTGATTTGTGGAAGGCCTTTAAGAAAACAGGCCACTGCTGGGTGTGTGAGTAACTAATGCTCCTTTGGTTTGTGTTTGAAGGCAGCAGCAGCAACAGTGATGACACAAATTAATTGCATGGTTTTCAGGAGCTAATGCAGAAGAGGTAAGGAGAATTACTACGCGATTAACACAGTTTCCAATTAAAGTCCTCTGTAGTTACCAAAAAACATTCATTTCTAGTAACTTGGTAATTTAACTTGTGTCACCACTGTACCCGAGTGCACCAGGGCTACTCAAGGGCTGTCCATGCTTAAGCCTTGTATGAAAACCATGGAAATAGTCATTAATTTTTAACTATGTGTACCAGGCCTCAATTAAACCACCACTGTGGCCCACTAAAGGATGTGCTAACATTAAAGGACCAAAACCCAGCTGCTGTTCTAGCACTGAACTGTTTCTTGCCCTTAGTGAAAAAGGGAGGAAAAAATAATCCACTGTTTAAATAAATTCAAAGGTCCTTCATGTTTCTTTATCAACAAGTGAGAAAAAGACTGAGACAAATGAAACTATTTCACCCTTCCAGGGAAATTTGCTGTTGGGATGGCAGAATTACGTTTGTCTTTTTAATACTTACCTTCTATAGCTCTTATGTTTCCATAATTCTGTTCCAAGAATACCAAAGCAAAGGTCTCTGGATTAGCAGCTCCCCTCTGTCAAAGCTCACTGAGGTGGGCACCTGCACATGGGGGTTTAAGGTACCTGAACTGCAGCCAGCGGAGCTCTGGAAGAAGGAAAACTCTTCCCCTAGGTCCCATCACAGACAGCACCGCCGGTACCGCAGCAGGACAGATCGGCCCATGAGGCACCTGCAAGGCTGCAGCAGTCCAACAGGTATGAAGACCTAGGCATGGAAAACTTGGACAATGATCAGGCCTGAGCAGTTTTGGTTTAATCTGATGACAAAACACAACCACCACGTAGAGTCATTACCATTTTACCACGTGCATTTCCAGAACACTCAGCTGCTTTCACCCTGCCTGTTTAAAAACGCAAGTATACTTGGAGAAGGGTCATAGAACCATAGAATAGTTAGGGTTGGAAAGGACCTTAAGATCATCAAGATCCAACCCCCCTGCCATGGGCAGGGACACCTCACAATAAACCAGGTCACCCAAGGCCTCGTCCAACCTGGTCTTGAGCACTGCCAGGGATGGAGCATTCACAACCTCCCTGGGCAACCCATTCCAGTGCCTCACCACCCTCACAGGAAAGAACTTCCTCCTTATACCCAATCTAAACTTCCCCTGTTTAAGTTTGAACCCGTTACCCCTTGTCCTGTCACTACAGTCCCTAATGAAGAGTCCCTCCCCAGCATCCCTATAGGCCCCCCTTCAGATACTGGAAGGCTGCTCTGAGGTCTCCACGCAACTTCTCTTCTCCAGGCTGAACAGCTCCAACTTCCTCAGCCTGTCTTCATACGGGAGGTGCTCCAGTCCCTGATCATCCTCCTGGCCCTTCTCTGGACTTTGATGTTTTCCCTGTTGCCAGACTTGTGATGAAGGCTGAAGTCTGCAGTGAGGTAGGATGGATAAAGTCTTTCAAAAGAGATGTGGGTCTTTGATATATGTCTCGAGTCCTATATCAATGCTGTACAGTGACTTCTGTTAAAAGAGTCAGAACATCGCATAACTGGGGGGAAAAGCCCACGGCACAGCTATGCATGCTGTTAGGTTCACAGAACTCTGCACCACTCTCAGCTTCATTCCAACACTGCAGTCCCCAGTGCATTACAGCCTCGGAAGCTTATTATATGTTATTATTATTACTACAACAACAAAAGCTGTAAATGGAAGAGACGTTATTGATTCAACTAATCCATTTGTTCCTTCCCGTGCCCTTGTTACCAATGGGCCAGTCTGCTTTGGAACAGCTTGACATGTGAGACTAACACTTCCTGGTGAGGATGTGACACAGCCTCGCATTCCTCTGCGGGAAGCTTTTCCATGAGTACTTTCCCCTTTCCCAACAATGTCTTTTTCCTATCTCAACTCCTTTCCCCACGCTATGTACTCGTACACCTTAGCGCTTCTCTCCTTCCCCTCACTCCTCAGCTATAGATTAACAAAACCGTGTAGTTACAAGTTAATCTTCCTTAAGCCCATCCCTGCAGGCTCCCGCTCATTTTTCCTGTTCCTCTGTGCACTTTAATTAGTTAATGCCTTCCTCATGGAAAGGTAAGCAGAAAGGAGAGCATCACTGCAACCAGATTACACCAATTATATCCCCCTGCTCTGTGACAGAAGCTTCTAATGATGCAGCATAGGGCTGCTTTTTTGTCTTTAAATGGGAAAGCAAAGTACAACTTCATGTCTAATTTCCTGCCCACTGTTACCCAAAGGAACCACTCAACAGTTTGGCATTATTTTTGCTAGAGCTACATTAACTTGTGCTTCACTACACAGGAGCTTTCTATTTTCCAGCTCTCGCTGACATTCACAATTCTCCTCATTTTGACATCTAAATTCCATAAATACGTTGTTTACTCCCTCTTCTGGGCTATTAATGAAAAATATTAAGGAAGATCAAGGCAAACATCCTCACACTCAGCATCGACAAGTATTATTATGCCAACTATTAGCATGATTCAACAGCGAACAGGTTACTAATTTAGACAAATGATGTGTGGGTTGGGGTTTTGTCTCGTGAAAACAAGCAAAAACAATCTCATTTTAGCTTTTTGGAATATTAACTCAAATTAACACATGCTAACACACCTTACAGCCCTGACACATACATTGACTAGGTCTTGGTTCTGCCTCAAATCCATCTATTAGGCACTTCTTTCTCATCAAAGGGGAAAAAGGTGCTTCAATGAATCCACATGATGCTTATTATTTGGATCGGCAACATTTGTGTCTCCTGTGCCTGAACAGCACTTAGAATAGGTTAACATTTGGTTTACAACACAACAATAAAACCTGCCTTTATTGCAAATAAACAGAGTATTTACACCTTACAATATTGGTTTAGATGCAGGATTATACTCATTCTTAGTGGATCTAATATTAATATAAAAGGCACATGCATTTCATGTTTTCACACCTTCTTTATTTTTCCAAGCAGTGTTAATAGGTATTTTAAATATTGCATTTACTTTGTTAAAACATGAAACTATGCAGGTACATTGGGTTGCAATGGGAGAACACACAACATCAAGGAATCATTTGTACAGCAATTAACACAGAGCCAAAAGAAAGAAAAACAAGAATCACATCCCAGAATTCTAACATCCACTCCCTCACTCCCTCATTTGCCTGGATTTAAAAGCTGCATGAACAGGAGAGAAACCTGGACGTTACAGTCGTTGAAACAAGAAACAAATACTCTTCTAATAATTGTCTTTAGCTGCTTTGATTGGTTGCAGTTAATATTAATAGTATAACCTTTAAAAATAGTGGGGAAAGGTAATACTTTATCTTCACTCCTCATATTAAGGCTCCAAAGCAAGCTTAATGAGAAACCATTATAAAATCATACTGCTAAATAGTATCTTAACTCACAATTCAGCCTATATAATTATATCAGGATTGCAACTGACAATTACTACTGATAGATCAAACTTACCTCTCCCACTGTGCTGCTCGGGATGTGCATCACGATTAAAGCATTAACTATTATTTGGGCTTAGCAAGACAGATTAGAGTTTTCCCCTTCCCACATGGATACAGAGCTCAAACTTCCCTTACAAACAGAAATGATGTGGTCTCAAAACCTATGCATACACATCCATGACATAAAACCCCCATGAATCTAGCAGCCTCTGTCGGGCTGACACGACATCAGGGTCACAAGCTGGGCTGTGGGGACTGGCCAAGCTTTTTAAGAGGGGCAAGACCAGGCTGTCTGTGGGCACCTTTCAGCACGCTCTGGCCTCTATCTTTCACTAGCACAACGTAACATTAAACTCATCCAACTAGTAGTGAACAAAAATAATTAGTAAGTGCATTTATAAATGGCATTTTAAAGACTATTAACATATAAAACATTCTCATCTCTATGAAAATAGACCCATTTCAGCACACGCTTGCCTTTCTGGGGGAGGAGGACAAAAACATTTGGGGTTTCCTAAAAAGCAAGTGTTCTCCAGGACAGCTGCCAATAATCTTGTGTAAAACGTCCTTAAAGCAAGACAAACTCCTCCGTGCTGAATCTTTTTAATCTTTTCTTTTCATCCTCAGGGAAAAGGTGTTTTTCTTCATGGAGTGGACTGGAAACAAAGTCATAGTCTTTCGAATGACCCTTTACAAAAGTAAACAAGGGATATTTCTCCTTAGACGAAGATTTCAGCATCTGCAATGTAAAACACCAGACAAAACGTTAAGTGGGAATGAAGAACCCCAGTAAGTAGCGCTATTGATCTGATGATGGCATTTTACAGTTATTATAATCATATTAAAACAGAAGCACTGCACACCAGCTGCACCAATCCTGCATCTCAGGGAGATGTTTTTATTGTAGAATCAGCACGTACAATAGTCAATGCTATTATTAACAGTTTCAACACTTACACCTATGGAAATAAGCCAATCAAGAGCACATGGCTAAAAGCAGACTGATGACAGTACCAGGCTGCCAAAAATCTACATCTATAGATATAGATATATATAAATCTACATTCATAGATTTATAAAACTGAGCATGTAGAAGGTGGGTGGTGGGGAATGATAAATACTAAACAAGATTTGGCAAAATATCTTTAATAGCAGTTAAAATCCACCTAATACTAAAAGACATTTCAGCCTTTCAGGCTCTTTTGGACACTTACATGTTCACTGATTTTTACTTTTTAAATATAATTTCTTAGTTGCTTTAAAACCCCTGCACATTGATGCACTGACACAGAACTACATTAGCCTCGAGGTGTGCTGTGTGCGGAGCTAAAAGCACTAAACATGATTTCATGAGAACAACTCATCTAAACCAGTAAAAACCCCCTAAATATAAGAACAATGATAAAAACAAAAGACAGGGGCTGAGGGGAATCTTTAAAAATACAATAAATCAATCACACAGTAAAATCCTTGATTTTTACTGTGGTCTCAAATGTCCCACTTTTTTCTTGTCTATTTTAATTGCATTTGGCTACTGTAATGTGAAACCTAAGTGAAAGAGCATGGAGATACAGGAGAGATGCACACAGTGATAAGCAAAAGAAGAGTAACAGATGAGCATCAGGAAGAAAAAAGTTTGCACTATGTACAAATGCTTTGTTTCTTGAGAAATCAGACAGTTGGATGCCAACCCTTTCAATCTCTGGGGGTGGAATACAAGCTGCCTTGGTAGGAACAGAAACTGATGGCCACATGGATGCTGTGTGCTGGTGGCTGAAGTGGGTGGGTGCGCTTAAGCCAGCTCCTCACTGCAAGTTAGCTACAGAAAACAAATCATAGAGATGGTCCTACAAAGCAGGACACAAATATACCTGCAACTCCCCTGTCATTGTCCAGGTTTAACTCTCCCTGAACTTCCTTCTCTACAGGTACATGCAACACCTCTATGTACTAAGGGAACACACAACATGAGCTGGACAGACAGAAAAAGGCCTAAACTAGAGTCAAGGGGTACCTGGTTGAGATTAATTATTACCAAGCCACATCTCAGTTCATCAGAGCTTGCAAGTTCTTTAGCAACTTCTGTGATGATTTCTACAGAGAGTTTATTGATAAGCATCAATCTATTTGAGTGTTTTAGTGTTAGACTCAGTCTGCCACTGTTGTGGCTGCAACAATTCATTCTTTGCGCTGAACTCCATCCAAATTCAACACTCAAACAGTCCAATTCTGCAGAGAACTTCTCATTTCTGAACAGAACCTGGACTACAAACAGGCAAACCTGGATTATTTATTTGCTGTGATGGGTTTTGATAGGGAAACAAAAGCAGCAAGAGCCTCAATTTTTGAGCCTAGCCTAGCTAGGGCACACTGGTTGTATGCTGTGCTTGATAATTCAAGAGTTATCACACTCAAATTGCAAACATAGGGAGAAATAACAGAAGAGCAGGAAAAAACAAAGGATGTGAAGGAAAGGACTGAAAAATCACAGCATGGTTCTCACATAGCATTCGTATGCAAACTCTCCTCTATTTTCAAGCTTACTGTGCCCAAAATATATCTCTATAAAATAATGTCACAAATATGAAAGAACTTCTATGTAAAATAACAGGATAAGAGATTTGGATCAGCCATGAGTATTTTCACAACATATGTTCAGAAAAAGAAATGTGCTTAGTCCCAAACTTGAAAGAAAGAAGGGAAAGAAAAAGAGAAGTTCCAATGCAACTGATTTTGTAATTCGGAGTATTTTTTACCTAATGTTATTACATGCTTTCTTATCCATGACAGAACAGGAAAACATGGAAGAATAGTAACTTCACTATTTAAACTTCCCATAAAACCATTGCTGAGGAACTTCTGCTTTTTTAAATCTATCTCCTACCTCTCTGTGCAAGAATCAAAGAAAACGTGAGCATCAATCAATATCTACCAAAGATTACATACAGTATTATGTTTAAAAATGCTTTTTTTGGTTAGAAAACTAATACCACTTAACAGGCTATTCCAAATGCTGCACCAACATTAATTCTTCGTGCTGTTGTGACAACTGCTGTGGTCAGGATATTAATATTGTGACCGTCTCCTGCTGCTGCATCCTTTCATAGGCTGTCTCTTTAAATCACCAAAACACAGCTACTTGTTACCAGAGCTCAAACAGCGTATTAATGCTGTGTTTCACACACTCACATACTGCGATCATCAAGGGGAAAAAGTCACATTTGGAGCTAAATGTGCTATACCATTTCAAGAACATTATAGCAGTGGTTTTGAAGTGGAAGGACACAATCATGCGGGTGATACCTGCTCCACAGCCTTCAAACCAGCACAACCGTAGAGTAAACGCGCTGCTTTACACTTAAAAGCCATCGCAAAAAGCACTTATGCTAACAGGAAATAACCCACAATTTGGGCTCGATCAAACGCTTCCATTTAAAACCCCAGCCCGTCCCTCCCGAGGGGCTGCCTGCCTCTCCCGGCCCCCCGGCTCGGCAGGAATGCTGGCTGCGGGAATATTCCCATTTCAAGAGTGCCACCTCGTGGGCTGCCCTGTCGCGATTCCTGCACAGCCTCTCGCAACGCAACCCAGGTAACATCGGAGGAGATGAAAAACAAGCCGGGTTTCTCAGGAGCATAAAAGCAGGAATGAAGATCAAGAATTACGCCCATTTAAAAGGGAGAAGCCGCTTCCCTCCCCTTATCCACACACAACCCACACACGCCGTTGTGGCTGAGGAATGCAGTTGGTCACTTCCACACTTACCTTCGTTATCTCTTCAGAAGCCTTCTCAAAGTCCTGCACAGTTCTACAGTAAAATCCTATCGTGCAGCTTGGATCCATCTTTTTGAACGACATCTTTTTGGGAGAAGGACAGTGGAATGACTGCGAGTTTCAAGATTAAAAGACATAAAAGACACGGTTAAGGTTGAGAATGGTTCAGACCAACGCATTTACTTTGTTTTCCACCAACAGCTTTAACATACAACCCCCTGTATCACCCAAGTTAAAACCCAGCACACACTTTAGAAGTCATTGCTCCTATCACACCCACCCCCCCCCCCCAAGTAATTCCACTCCTCTCCACACGTATAAAGCCTCCTGCTGATTATGCTGCATCCCCCAAACTTGCACACACCACCATGTTAGTTTGAATCTGTCAAAGGTCTGCGGCTCCGAGCGGTACTTTATGAATATTCCCAAGGCAGAGGAGGAGAATGCTCTCTGCAAATTGAATTTGTAACAGCTTTTGCACTATCTTACTGCTTTACTACCACCGCCCATTGCCCCTTTCCCTCCCCCTGCCTCTAGGAAAGAGACATAATGGAATAAACCAAGCTCATGCGTTATCCTCTAGGAAATAAAATGGGTTAAAACTACCACAAACCCCATGAAGGCAAAAACCACATTACAATAATCCACTAGGAGGGAATAAAACAAACAACATGCCCTGCTTTATAAATGTTTTTTTCCTAATGTGAAATCTCTTTTCATGACAGATGATGCTCTGACAGCGCTGTGATCTGATCCTATCAGCAGCCATGCCATAAGGAAAACGAAACCAATACAAAACCCTCTTCCCCACACTCCTTCACAGTTTATGACAGAAAAGGTAAGTATATGCTGACTGCCCTGATTCTGTGTGTGGTTATGACAGGAACTGTAGCTTTGGTGAAGCTCGCTGCCAAATGCCTGACATTATTTAGTCACTGCTGCCTGTCACTCCAAGGCTGTGAGTCCTTTTCATTCTGCTCCTAACACACAGGACTACCCCATCATCCTGCCTCTATCGAGCCCCAGCAATCCTGCTGCAGCAGCTCAGTAACAACCACTAATACATCACATTCGCACCACACTGCAACAGATCCCGTTTTCCTGAACTTCCCCCAGTGATCAATATTCTCCAGTGAATATTCCATGCTTTTTCCTTCCACACTGACATATAAGCTGTGCTCAGCTCAGGCACCTCCTAGCTCAGCACAGGACCAGGACAGCAACACCAGGACAGAGCAATGCAGATTTCTTACCAACACTGTGCTCCCTCTACGAAGGATTAACAATGGTTACAATCTCATTTGACTAGAGCAACAGCTAACAACAAGCAGTCTGTGTGCTAGAAATCTATTTTATTTCCCCCCCACCCCAATCAGGAAAGTCAATCCACAGAAGACAACAGCACTAGTTACCAACCCGAGCCTGCCAGTGTAATAGTTGTACATATTGAAATGTATTGTTCTTTACTTGCGATTACAAACCTGAGATGTATTTCTATTAAACCTCTGCTAAAAAATAATAGAAGCAAAGATGAGAAGTATTATTTATATACAGTTGGTTTCAGGCACTGTTTTCTCTTTTAATTCTCTTTTTACATGCATAAACCGTATTTTGAATATTCATTCCTGTGTCAAACACGTAAATCAGACCCTGCCTTCCAGATCCCATTTCAGCCACAGCACAGTTGTGCTGGACTGTTGAGGGCAATACTCCTCACGCTGCACAAATCACTGCTCAACAAAGAAGTGGGTAGGCTTTTATTTTCTCTTCGCTCCTCCAAACAAATGGATTCTGGAAGCCAATACAGAGTGGATTGATTTCCAACTTATTCTGGACAATTTGTCAATTTGGAAAATACTCCCTACAGATAAATCTAACAAGCAACTATCCACACTAAGAAAGCAATTTCTGTTTACTTTTGACATTTCTAGACAAAGATATAATACTATTAAATGCACTAAGCATTAAATTGCAATATATTTTCTGTCTGCAGAAAAGCATTAGGATGCGATCAAGCCAGGCTGGCAGCTCACAGACCTTCAAAATACATTTTAAAACATGATTATTATTTGGACATTCATATTAATGCATCTGCAGCACAAGCTGGAGAATTAGTCATGGGAACAGAAAGCAGAAAGATGTGTATTGTTTGTAGTTTGGCCACTGTGCTATGGGGTGACCTTAAGGAAGTCACTTCAGCTCTGGTTCTTTGTGCTCTTCCTGTCTTTTGTCTGCTTTACCCAATTAAACTGTAAAATGCTCAGAGAAGGCACTGTATTTTACTACAGTTATTAGCATAAAGGAGCAAGGATCTTGGTTATAATCCCTGGCTGCTGCTGCAATACAAATAGGTAGGGCTGGGACTCATCAACTCTTCTTCCAAATATCTCAATGGGGTAAATCCAAAGGCATCCCTAAATAAGGATAGTTCCTGTCTAGGATATTTCTAATACATTGTGCTGCCATGTTCCCTTTTTATTTCAGGACTGTCTCATTTCCTAGAGAACCTTACACTTCTGTATTATATGTCATGCTAATTAAAGCATCTTGTAAAGCATTAATACTGAAAAACATGTAGTGTCTGCTTTAAGTCAGCCCTAGGGTTTGACATTAGCCTTGTGCAAGTCCTCTGATGTATGCAGGTTCTTTTCCTAAATACTGTTTGATGGTATTTTGATCAAGGTATTGTGATCAATGTTTGCTAACAGATCTTTCTTTTCATGGTGACAACAGGACCATTGCAGTTCACTGTTCTCAGTTTAAGTTTATGTGAATGCAGTGTGTTGTTTCTGAAGCAGTGTTTCCATGTGTAGGAGGCACTCCACATAACAGAGGGCATGATGAACCACTACAAATAACCAACACTGTTCTAGAGCAGCTGATGCTGTCCTAAGCAGTGGATGCACCTGCAAGTGTTTCTACACTGAATGAAGAGCTGCTCCAAAGAGGGTGGAAGCTGGACACAAGATCCAGAAGAGTCTGTATGGATGGCACCAAGCATGTCTACTGTAAGTACTGAGGCTATTGAACACTTCTGCAATTGATGTTTTCCTATGATACTTGTATATCAAGTTCTTAAATAACCTCCTTTAGCTCTGTTTTCAAAGCAAGTTATTTGGCAAGAGGTTAAAGAAAAGGTGAACACCCCCCTGCCAAACAAGCATGGTTTTTAAGACCCAGACATAGCCTAAAGAGATATTCATGCATTCACTACCTCTAGGTGAACCCAGTAACTCATGGCCAAGAAAGCTGTTGCTGGGTGTGGGGAGAGAGAGGGGAAGAAAGAACAAACGCAAACAAGCACCTACAGCATCAGACCAGCCAGTTTCTTGGAAACTACCATCCTGTAAAAATTCTAGTACTAAAACTCATTAAACAGGTCAGAGGACTTGAGTAAAACTCATCTACTCAAGCACAAACCTCACAGATAAGCCTTGCAGAAAGCTAAAACAGTGACCTGCAAAGTTGTTAGGAGCAAAAGCTACATTTAAAACAACCACCATCTACTCCAGTATAGAAATATAATAATCATATATATGTAATATCCAGTTCCTGGATAAAGAAGAAGTGGCAGGTAAAGCTATAAGAACTCTGGTTCCAAACTGACAAGAGGCTCTTCACTATTAACTAATACAGCAATTCTCTCCATGATGTTGCCTGCAACTTGAATTTAAAATAAAAGAAAATAGACACTACCAAAAGGCAAACTAACAAAACCAATCCAATTAACTCAGGTTTAAGAGCTCCAAAGATTGTCTGTTTTCTTTAATGGAAAATTCCTTAAATGAAGCAATGATCTGTTGTCGAGCTTTTCTTACCATTATAAAGAAACAGACAAAGATTAATGCAGTAAAAATTAAACCCCCATATTGAGTTTTTAACCTCTGGTCATTTTTGTTGATTATAGACCTGTAAAGAAGAGCAGGCCTTTGATAAATAACACGTAACTGTAAAACCATAAAGATGCAGCCAGCTAGTACATCTCTAAATAATTAGTGTTTGATTCATACGGGAAGAAAACAGTGCCAGGTCTATATCCACACTACCTCAAGAGGGAAATCCTTTATGCTGACATCCACAAAAGATTGGCAGTAATGAGGATCCATGTAAATCAAACTGTCATCTACAAGGACAAAACAGAAGACAAGTAATTCAAAAAACACCTTATTATTACACTGCTTACAATCCAATTTCTATGCAGAACAGCTGAAAAAAAAAGAGCAACCCAGCAAGTAACTGCTTGCCAGGCTGATATTCATTGACTGAAGCATAGGTTTTTGCAGGACAGATTAACTTTTGCATAATCAAATATGCTTGTATAAGCAGAATTTTTATAAAGTGATGAGACTGTCATTTAATTTTGGGTGATAAAATTACTTTTACAAACACACAATTATATTCTGGAGTTTGCATATGAAAAATGTATCGTGCTACTTCATCCTGACAGGAAGAATATATTGCTTGTCATTTAAGCATCACCTAACAGCACTTAAACTACTAAAAAGTAAATATGTAAATAAGAGCTGCCAGATAGGAACAGCAAATGGTCCTCAGGTTTGGTGAAACAGATAAATTGTGCCTTGTTTATGCAACAAGGGAAATTAAATGTACATTTTACAGAATCCAATTACTACATGGGGTAAATGACAAATGACTGGACTTGGCTAGATATGATGAATTAATAAGGTACTCATTTTGCTATTTTAATCATGCTATTTCCCACTGGTTCAATATGAACTCCCTAACTCGGAAAGAAAAATACTGAAAAGACGTAACAGATTAAAACACTAACCTTGAAATCCAGCAAAGTAATATGACTGCTTGGGTTTGCCACCAATAATACCAACACAGTACTCCAGGCTTAAAATTCCCTACAACAGGAATATTAAACAATTAGGAGAGTGCTAAACAGAGTAAATATTAAACTCAGTTAAAACCTTTATGGTTTCTTTACTGGTTTTACACAAACAGCTTTTTTTCTTTATAAGGAGTGATTTAACTTATTGGGGCTTGACTCAATTTTAAACTGACCAAAGAGAAAATACCACCAGATATTCCAGAGAAACACCTCCCTTTTCATGAGATGCCCATGTACTGAGAGAATTGGCAGTGTCATTTTTGGGGACGAGACAAGACATAGTGTTTGTTACACATATTGAGCCCAGGTTGCTTAGTCAAAAGGTATCAAGCACTCAGATTTACAGAGTTCACATACATTTACATTCCGTGGCCCTGGGGGTCTCTGCTTCTGCATTCAAATGCAGAAGTCTGTCTAGAGTATGAACTTTGACATCACAGGGAGAAATGCCAGTTGAAGCAAGAGTAATTACAAGATACAGCTCTAAGAACAACAGCCCAAAGTATGGGAGGAGACATGCAACAGACAAGCCCCATAAATCTCACTGGATGTTGACTCTGAGGGTGGAGGAATTGGAACCATCAATAAGTAGAGACTTTGAGAAAGAGGTATTACAAATACACCTAACAGGATTTAAAGAGGGACATGGGGTGAAATACGGGAATCTTTTCAGTCTGGGGTGTAATAACATACTCCTCCACCCACAGCAAAGCTAGGAGCCACTAGGGACAGGAGGAGGTGGGATATCAGCCGTGGGCTGCAGTCACACTAGTGCTGCCAGTGTCCTTCTGTTCATTCAGGTTTAGGAGAGTTGGTTTCTGTAACCCACGGGTCTGTGCTGGCACAGAAACCTAGCAGACTTATTACATTAGAAAATGCTGATTTTATGGCTATACCTTCTATTGCTGGGGAGGAGTTACCTGTATACACAGAGTCCTGTCAAGGTAAGAACATTTCACTAGTTTGACTGAAATTCCTGTTCTTGTGACCATTCGGTCTTGGCTTAACAGAGTTCTCCATTAGTTATGCCATCAGCTCCAGTGGGAGCTGGCTTTTGCCAACACTGAACACTCTGGAAAGCCGAGCCCAACTGTTCTAATGCAACTGAAGCCCAAGACCATTAAATAGTCTGAAAACTGAACAGCCTTTAAACGTCCATAAATCACAGTGGTTTTCTTGTCGCACTTGACAAGTTGCTGGGACAGCAAGCCAGAAGATTATCAGTTGAGCTAAAGTGAAATCTTCATTAGCTGGCAGTCATATCTATATCCTCTCCTCTAAGAGATCAACCATTAAAAGCATTATCATAAGTAGGGAAAATTTCTCTCAACAAAATGATTGATATTTCCTGTACTCATCAGACCAAACCTTCTTGAGGTCTCTGCTTAGACAACGACAATGTAACATAACACAAACAGCTGTACTCCTCACCTCAAATGCTAACAAAGTCAACTTCAGCATGGCTTAGGCAGGTTAACAAAAGGTGCTGCTTAATTAAAATAGGAATGAGAAGGGTTTTTCAGCAAGTGCTCCTCAATGACTGAGGGTTACAGAACATCCAGGCAGATCAGACACTGAAAGAGCTGAGGACACATCCTCTGCCGGTGAAACAGAAAGGGAGCAAAGCTACTCGGAGTAATGAATAACTGTTTAATCTATGGGAAGTTTCTTGTAAAAGTGAATTATAAAAAATTTATCCATTTTCAGCCATAAATATAAAATCCTTCGTAAAAATTACCTCTCGTACTACGTTCTCAAATCTGCATTTTTAACTTAAATCCAGACCCCAGGAAATTCAGTCACTTGTTATGAACAGTCAGGATAGAGACTGGAGTGACGAATAGATGCAATTGAAAGACCTCTTATCTCAACCTCCATTCCCAGACTGCAAAAGGCGCTCCCAGGCTTGGTAAATGAGCAGCAGGAATCACCCTGGGAAAAGCCAGTTGTGATACAAGAGCCAGGATACCGTGACTGTGCTGTGAACCCCAGTGCCACACAAACGTGTTGTGCTCTGGCAAAGAAGTGGCTCTGAGAGTAAAGTGAGAAAGCCCCTGCAGGGTGAAACTAAAACTAGGCACAGATACTCATCAATAACAGAACTGTTAGTTCACAATTGAAGGTACTATGTGTTTTCCTGGACCTGACTGATTCAAGGGCTTCTTTGCAGTTAACACTGAAAGTAAGGTGGTTGCAGGTCATGTCTGAGACCACAGACTTATCTTAATGTGTCAGAATGCATCAGAAAAGAACTAAAACTTTTCCAAGACCAACTGTCTGAAAACATAAGGAATGAGGAAAGAAACAGTTTAATAGTTCATCACTTAAATAAAAGGCTTCATCACTCCATCTCCCCAATGCTGTTAAAACCCAACTGTTTTTCATGAACCTTAGAGGGAAGAGACGGTCATTAAGACAGAAACAGACATCATCAGACTCCCAGATTTTGTTCACGCTGCTACACTGTGGCATTTAAAAAATGAAACCAAGAATCTAAGGAATTTAAACAGCAGCATAGAAAATGGCAGAGCAGCAGGGCTAAGAGAACAATCTCTTCCCTAAGAGAAGTATTCTTGAGCTCAAGAGGTAGGATTACAGATCTTCTGGTGTTAGCACCATATGCAGAACCTCTGCTGATAAGGACAGCACAGACCTTCCCCCTCTCTGCTTTCTCCTCGAGTTTCACTTTCTTCCAGTTCATTTTCACTTGTGGTAACTGCTTGCTGCTCCTGCATCACTGTCCCTAGAAACATTCATCCTAATGTCCAGATAGTGACAAAATACTTGAGGTAGTGACTAAAGATAAGAAAGGGGATAGCATGTTTTCTAAGACAAAGAAAACGACAAAAGAAAATGGGAGGAATTGACAAGCAAGAACCTTAAACCACCTGACATTTAATAAAATGAGAAACAGAAGGAGGAATCTGGTATATTTGTATTTTTAAATGCTGACTGATACTTAGTTACATATGCCATTAGAGTGGTGCTATATTAAATTACCACTTGCAATTTAAGCCAGTGCATTAATGTCTTCTCAGGTAGCTGCTTCAGGAGTAGGACAGTCATCACTGCTTCACCAAGGGACATCATGTGCTCTGCAATTATGCCTGATCTTGTAATAGGGAATTTTAAAGTCTGTAAAGTCAAACTTTACAACCTTCAACTGTGAAATCACCACCACACGTTTAATAGGTAGACGATTACCATCATGGAGTCGCTTTTCATCTCGCCTCGTGCTACTCTTTGAGAAATGATTGAGCTCTCATTTCATACCTTTACAAACTCTAAGTAGTCCAGGTTTGTTCTCTCTCCACCAAGCCTCACAGGAACTAATATAATTACAGCTTTTGTGTCTGCTTTTCCAGAGTCCATAAGAGAACACTGTCTGTCAATAACATCTGAACTGTAGACTGAAAGGAGACACACGGAAATGTTAATACTTAAAACACAACTGCTTTGACAAAGACACACCTACAACAAGCCAGCACTTAGTCTGACAAACTAAACCCACAGTCCTTCAACATCTTACTGTCCTGAGTGACTCTGATTAAAACCACTGTTAAGCCTCCTTATTTTCAGCAGTATTTTGTAGACTGGTGATCTCCTGCTGCTGCGGCAACATACATTACCAAGGAAATGCAGAAGGAGGAGGTTAGGAGAAAGCCAATAAATATTTATTCACTTCATTTAAACTCTTCTAAAAGGAGTCATTTAACATTTGAATGCCTGCAATTAACAGAAACATCTGCATGTTAAAAGGCAGTAATTGATTTTAATAAATACCCAAGTTCACTGGTAAAGTTAACCCAACACAGCCATTGAAAATGACTGAAAAAGAAGCATGTACTATTACTGCTTACACCCTCCAAACTGAGATGTGAAAACCATCACCAGAACAAAGAAGTGAAAAGTTCATACAAGTTTCAGTTTCTGCTGTCACTGCAAGACAGGTGAAACTGGTTTGTAGCATACGACTAAACAGGGTCCCTCGAAAACCAGTCTCATTGATTCCCCAGGGACATCAGTCTCATCTGTCCTATCCCCAGATCAGCTGTGACATAACTAAGGCTTCTAGCAGCTGAACATGGTTCCTGAAGGAATACATTGCGCTTAGATTTAGTCATTAGCATAGAGTTCCAGCACACATTTAGTTTTTCTTATCATTTTCTGCTCCTTCAGAGCAGAGGCAAACCAGAATCCTGTGATGCGAAAGACAAACACAATGAAGCTAACAAACGTAACTGAAGTATTTTCCACTTGTTTGGCTGGGTTTGGGGGGTTAATTTTAGTAAGATATGGAAGTTCTAACTAGCTTATTGCTAAAACAACACTGAAGCAAGTACAAATCAGATTATCAACCAATTTAAATAGAAACTTAAAAGTGACAAAAGGCAGATTGTCAAGATAAATTATTTTGCAGGATTTGGAATTCCACTGTAAGACATAAAAAAAAGCCAATGTACAAAGCTTTCAAGCTGTGGTATCTGATTCTCAAAGAGAACAAACATCTGCATATATCAAGAACCCGTTTGCCTATATAATCTCAATTATGTGGATGCATTTTTGAGTTGATTTTTGTGCTTCAGAGGTCCATTGTTAAGTGCTTACTGAAAGGCATAAAAAGCATCTAAAATGTTTGCAGAACTCTACCCGATCACAACATTTACCTGTACAATCCTGAGCAACATAGACTGTTACTCCTTGTAGCTCAGGGTCTCTTGCTTCTTCAACAGCTTTTCTAAGTACAAACACAAAGCTATTTAACTCATCTCTGACATTAAGGAAATTAACAATGCACAAACAGAAATCAGTTGATCTTTAGAAACAGGTTGGGTTTCACTGTGGTTGGGGATTTTGGGTGGGTTTTTTGCGGAATCCAGTCTATAGGACAGCATGTTTTTCCCCAAGCAAAGTCAAACCCATTTGACTGTTTAGGAGAAACAATGAAAACCACAAAAAAAGCCCAAAGCATCACATTAACTTCCAATGAAGTTCATATTCATTACCTAAGTCTGTTTATAACAGTTTTTTGTCATGTACTTTGAGCTAATAAAGGCTAAATTTGCCTTTTCAACTCAATAGATCTCTTTAGTTAACCTCAGTTCAAGTAACCAGGCACAAATTAGCACTTCATGTCTGTGGATAGAAAGGTTAGCACGTAACAAGCTGCGAGGTTTCCCCACAACTTTCAACAGCAGCATCAGGCTATCCTCAACAGAGTAAGAGTAATGGAGCCAGAAACTAAACAGAAATTCTATGTCCGCAGTCTGAAGCACAATCATCCATCAAGGACAACGTCTGTAAAGAAATCGGAGTGTTCAAAATAGAAGATGAGCCTTTGACTTCAATACAGGCTTGCATTAAATGGTCACTATCCCTTTATTTCCCAGTATATCCTGAGGAACCATTTAATACAGTCGTTCTCAAGTTATGAGAGCACTGTACATTGTTAGTACTGCTGTAAGAGAGGAGGGAGATCCAGGAAAGGAAACCTTTGCAGTGTCAGTTTGTGTTGAATTCTGGACCACCCCCCCCTCCCCATTAGGTAAAGAGGCTACTGCAATTTAAAGGAAGCAAAAAGAATTCTGACTGCTTCTTTTCTGTTTCTGACTTTTTCATAAGGAAAAAAGTAAGAGGAAAACACATAAATAATACTGACTTCTTGCATCATTGTGTGCATTTGCACGTATGCACCTATACACCTGATTATTTCAGTACAGGTTCACTTCAGATTAATGTACTTTCATACTAAACACCAAATTCAGCTAGTCACATATATAAAAAGGAAGATAAATAGATGAACTTTGGCTTCTGCTGCTTAAATGACTTATTTGTGATTCAGTTTATAGGTAAACCGGAATTCACTAAGAACATAAGCATACATAAGGCTATAAAGAAAATTAAAAGGAAACAAAAGGCAACATTCAAGGAAATGGCACAAAATACAGAGAAATTTGACTTCTGACTTATTTTTCAGCCACACTGAATGTCACAGCCCCTTTATTTTTACTGTGAGCTAATTATAATATTAATAGTCCCATACATTTACAGGTTCACAAGAATGTGATGTGTGCAAAGAAATGCTGAAAACATCAATTTTAGCTCTGACATTTCATTACACTATCAGTACATTACAGCCCCCAGGTTACAGTGGAAAAAGAAATCTCTAATGTTATGCATGTTCCAAGGTTGAAAGATTGGTTAGTTTTTAGAACATTTCATTAAATGCAGCTCTACTTAAAAGCCTGGGTTTGGGAGAAATACATGTGACTCTGTGGCCCAAAGTACAGGAAAACAGGAATGTCTGTTTTCTCTCCTGAAATAAGACTGAACAACAGCTCAGAGTTCAGATCCTGCACCTACTGCTATTTCCTTTCCGGCCTCCGAAAAGCCTCTCGTAATAAGGACATTTTACAAAGCCAATAATGAACAGTTAGATGCTCAATTAAGCTGAAGTAACCTCATGACACTTGGAAATGCTTTTCCTGTAATGCGTAACAACAAATGAAGGTATTTTACCTTAAAATGTGTGCAACAACTGCAGGCCCATACCAATCTCCAGCGATTTTCCCAGACTTCTTTCCATATTCTATTAGCTGATGTAAGCCAAAAGCTGCTAGCGGATAGTCGCCAAACCAAGAAATGATCTTTCTATGATAAACTTCATTTCTCCTGTCACTGTCATCACAGTTTGTCTTTAATGTTCCCCGATGATGATTTGACAGGATCTTGGGTTCTCTTTCTGCTGTAAGCGATGCTTCAAATGATGCTGTCAGCTTCTTCACTGTGTGGGCTGTCCACGATTCAGAATCTGAATTGTCAATGTCCAACGCATCTGGCCAGACCCAAGCTGCAGGCAAGGAATTTTAAGAGGCATATTAGGCTTTATATTAACTGTTAGGTATAAATAGCAAAGCACATTCCTTCATTCCTTCCTCCCCCAGGTTCCTGACTAATAATGTGCAATTTACATACTGAGATGCAAATGTCAGTGTCAAAATGTAAACAGAGGATTCGAGTGGAGTATGATTTGCTTTTATCTTCTCCTGAACGACAGGTGAAATGAAATCCTAACAGCATAAATTGCTAGCAAATGGACTGAGATAGAGGTCAGATTCCATGATCCCAGCCAGTTAAATACACAACACGTACCTGATTACAAGGCACAGGTTACAACTATCTTAAATATAAAAGTATCAGCTAAAAGAGCTTTATCCACATCAAACAAGAAGTTTCAAAAGCTGGTTTTAATTCTTCTGCTTTGTCAGATATTAAGAGAAGATAAGCAAACCCGAGGAATTATTCCTGTAAAAACAAACACCTCTTCCTGGCAAAATGACAAAGCAGATCAGCACAACAATAACAAGATTCCTTTGCTAAATGTGTGAATGCTTTACCAAGATTAATGACAAACTTATTTGAATACCATTCAGCACAGCATCTACAGCCTGCATTTCCAGCTGAAGGCTTCTCTGACAATGCAGCCTGCACACAGCATTCCTCCTCCTGCATAATGGTGGCTCAGCATGCCTAGAGAACAGCAACGCTTTCCTTGTCAGATGACTCAAAGTCTCTCCCACAAGTCCAAACAACTACTTGCAACACAGAGCATGTGAGGAAACCTCTGAAACACACAGCGGGTGTATTGTTAAGAGTAGAACACACCCTGAAGGTCCATAATAAACATCCCAGAAGGAAAGGGGAAGGCTGCCATGTGTAAACAAGGAACAAACCCTACAGAGAGGTGCTTTTGCTAAGTGAGCCATGTTTGGGTAAGCTCCTGGAGGCTCAGAAAACTGCCATTACTGCAGGAAGAGGGACCTTTTCTGACAGAGAGCAAGAGCTGCAGCCCTCCTGGTAACTGTTACTGAAGAATCCATGTAAAACTCTGAGAAACAAAGAGGAAACACGGGGCAACTACATTTTAATTCTAAAATCTAATTTAGGGCTCCAGTCATGTGCCAAGTATTGCTGGTTATGGCCACAATCCATGTCACCCACACTTCTATAGTGTGGCAACCACCCCTCCCCAGTGCCTCTTACCACAAGTGGCACTCCTCTGTGAAACGTTCTTTTCCCACTGCAGACCCAGGCAGATGCATTTGTAAGCTCAGTGTAACAACATCACAGGCCTTGCTATTCCTGCACTGGAATTCCTTAGATATAGGGAAGACGTTCTTCCCTGTGAGGGTGCTGAGGCGCTGGCACAGGGTGCCCAGAGAAGCTGTGGCTGCCCCATCCCTGGCAGTGCTCAAGGCCAGGTTGGACACAGGGGCTTGGAGCAAGCTGCTCTAGTGGAAGGTTTTCCACCCCGTGGCAGGGGGTTGGAACTGGATGAGATTTAACTTCCCTTCCAACCCAAACCATTCCAGGATTCTCTGATACTGTGAGTTTCAAATTTAAGTCAGTGTTTAAGCACAAGCATTTCAAAGAAAAACCTACCAGCACCTTAGTATTCACAATAAAAACTCATTTACAACATCATTCAGCAATATCTGGAACATTCCACGTAGCAGTGGAAATGCAAGTATTCCAGCTAGTAACCGCAGTCAAGTTTTGCTTTGTAACAGAAACAATACCATTAAACTATAATGAAAACATCTCTGGGAAAAGAGTAAACAGCAATGAAAAACTTAATGTAAACACTTAAATATGTTTCAAAAGCTACCCAGACCTCATAAAAAGCTTTCCAAAAGATAATTCACCAGCTGTCAGAAGAGTAGGTGATGAGAAAAGTAGCCCTGAAAGACCATACATACTCCATTTTTCTATGCATTTGGATTGCCACAGAAACACTAGCACTCTGGAATCACCAAATCACTTCCCAAATGAGGATGCTTGGGGGACAGTGCAAGGAATTCTTTGTAACCACAGATTTTAAAGATATAAACCTGGGGCTTTTTTATTTGGGGTTACTTCAGAACGAGCCGTTACACATTCCTACTTGCAGGTAGTCTTCTGATCAGCTTTTATATTTAAGGGATTTGTGTTCTCAGCAGAAGTATTTCAATATATTTTGGTATCTGTAGTCAGTTGAAAGGGATAATGAATGTTTTATGACTTCAATATCTACAGCAAAAGGAACATAAGCCAATCTGACAGCTCGGTCCCGACACTGCCAAGAAAGAAGACTTTGTGATGCAGCTGGTTTGGGACCATGTTCACAGCTTACATCATATTTGCACAGTAAGTACAAAGCATTATCAAAACAGGCTTTCAGAACTATCTTCTACTAAAGTGTTCCTGGGATCCAACAAATGGCTGAGTAAACAATACACTGCATTCTCTCCAGCTAACACGCCTGGGTGGCTTCAGGCCCATATCTTAAATCATTTTGACAAGTCGTGGTGACAGAGGACATGACTGATTGTTTGAAAGGGGCAACGTGGTAAATTATGGAAGGGATTGAGAAGAGGATGGAAAGAAGAGGTGGTTGAGAACCAAACATGCATCTATGCAGGACATGGCTGAGCTCGGAAGAATGGAGAGGGTGTGTATGTTTTCTTTTCCTTTGAAAGCAAAAAGTGTTGCAAGTCTCCTAAAGCTACTTCTTTCAAACAGCTATGACTAAGAGAGTATTTTGAGATAGACAATGATAAGGGGAAAAGGGAAGTTCCTCTGTAAGTACATGGAGGGGAAGGGATGAAAGTGAAAATTTCAACACAAAGAATGATGCATTGAAGTTAGATTAGAATCCTTCTATTAACTCAATGTATTAATACTAGAGGTTGAATAATGCACAGCTTTAGAACTGGTAAAAGAACATCGCTTTTGCCATAGCCCACAGCTATGGGCTGTGGAACTCATTTCCACATCTTGAGTTCAAGAAAAGAGCAAGTTTCAAGAGAACTGGAGACTTGCATGGACAATAATACCAAGGGAGAGGATCACAAGTTTCTGTAGTGTTTCACTTCACAGTTAGCTTCTGTGGAGCTGACAGTATTTTCCTTTGCTTTGGCATTCCCTTTTTCAGGAACGGAAGAGTAGGATAGCCAGATCAGTGCTCTGATGCAATGGGACAATTCTGTTGTCAATGAGGAGTCCAGAATCAAACCCAGCTTGCACAGTCTGGTCTACATACAGACCACCACACACTCTACAGAACACCCACGCTTATAATACAAATTAAAGAGATCTCTCATAACTTACCTCGACCAAGAAAATGAAGCATAAGACCTTGAGCCAGCAGCATTTGGCCAGTTCTCAGTGTGCAACCCCAACCACAGTCTGTTGTCAACGCAGACCCCTTTATCTGAGGGAACTCCTCTCTGTAAGTCAGCCAGATTCTAGAAATGAAATCCTTACGAAACTCCTCAACATTTCCTGAAATCTCCGTGTTGATTTTATCAAAATTGGACCCATCTGTAGAGAGTTCACCAGAATCTGTAAGGCAAAGCACAATTTAAGTTCTAACTTAGTATGCAACTTCAGTTATTAGAAGGAAAGTAAAGAACATACAACTATTCCATGAGAAAAACAGGGCAAACTTGCAAAAAGTAATGACTGCTTCAAATACAAGAAAGGAAAATTGGAAGGCAAACATAATAGAAATGTGGCAGCTGAAAAAGGGGAAAACAAAAAGAGAATATTACGCCACTAGTATTTACAGAAATAACAAGACTGAATAAATGTATCTGAATAAAGCAGGTTAGGATGGGTTGCATTAGTGGTGATGGTGGACATTTACATGAGCATTCCCTAAGCTTTCCATATTCACATTTTGAATGTGGTAACTGTTAATGATAGGCTTTTTAGACACTTACAAATATCTCCACAGAGCTCCTGCCGAATGAGACGAGAATGAGTTAAGTGCTATGTACATACCATCGGTTTTGAAGTGGTAGCATTTTCCCAGCAGAAAGACTGGAGAGTTTCTACTGAAGTAAGTTTTTGTTTTCAACACCCAACCTAAAAGAGATGCAAAAGAAACACAGATTTGTGACTGAAACATTCCAAACAGGAATTGCTACCAGCACCTGGTTAAGCCAAAGATAACCCTCTTTGAGGGGAACAGAGGGAAAATGTACCAATATTGGGGTTTGCTTTCATTAATAACAAGAAGTTGCATGGTGCTACAAAACACAGCTTAGAGTTCTGGTTTCAAAGTCATGATGTCACCCATACGTGCCTGTTAGAATGTTAATATAATGGTACTACTGCACACAAACTGTTAGGATGCAAAATGCTAAAGCAGAGCTCAAGTTGCTTTGTCTCTATTGTGAATTCATTACTACATAGTTTGATTCTGTGAGGTTTCCAACTCCTATAATAATAAACAATAAGCTTCACATATGACCAATGAAAATGCATGCAGTGTGCTGCTTTTGCTATAGGATTAAACATCATCACAAAATTAAACATCACCTGCACAAAACCGCAGAGTTCAGACAAAAAGGGGTAGTACAATATCCTATTCAAATTCAAAGAGCCAGAATTCAGCTTTTCGGTTTTGATAGGGTCCACAAACAGTAGCTTTTTCACTTAAGTCTAAATCTTAGGGTCTTTAATATCCCAAATCCACAGTCTCTTGAACTTTTCCTATCACATATGGGGTGTGATAACTATTATTCCCCTTCAGCCATGTGGTAGCCTTAAAGAAAGTAGAAGAAAAGTATCTTTTCCTCTTGCCAGACAGCTCCAAGGCTCAGTTATAAGAAAGCTGGTGGTAAATCTGAGCAACCTCAGCCCTAGGGGAAGGTAGAAAAATGAAGTTTAAGGACAGGCTAGTAAAAGGCACACTTGAAAATCAGGTTGCTTGTGAACAAATCACTGATGTTCAGCTGTGGAGAAGTTACTCAAGAGTGTGAAGCAGACTCTTCAGTGGAGTCTGTACTTCACACATCAGCCTGTTTTTTCCAGAAAAGTACTTTCAAGAACAGTAACAAAACCAATCTTTGCTTCAGGTGATTCCATATAGACCCTTATTTAAAAGGGTCTGCAAAACTTCATTGCCATAATTTACTGCTTTCAAAAAAGTCATTTAAAAATAAATTATGAACATTTACTTGAAAAAAATAAAAGCTAAAGAAGTTTATTTATTTATAATAACAACATAAAAATGGTTTCAAGGGCCAAATTGCATTTTTATTATTAATATTAGTGAAGTTTCTGAGTCGCACTCCCATTCACGTCAACAGGAACCTCCCATTCATGTCAACAGAGACAAGATCTCCCCATACACTGGTTCACTTACTGTATTTCATGTTGTGCCATGCAGACATAAACTTTGATTTTATCTTTTCTACTTCATCTGTCCCTGTGGCCTCCATATTCAAACGCTAGAGACAAAGCCATCGCTGTCTTGTAAGACGTTCAATTCTGCTACTGCAAAAACAAGATAGAAACACATCCATGGGCACTGAGAACACAGGGTATAGCATCACCACCAGCCCACGTCAGTACTTTAGCCTAATGTGGCCAGAACAGTAATAAACTTGCAGTATTCCCTACTACCAAGGACTGAGAAACAATCACATATTCCACGAATAAGTAATAAAATAATTTAATTCCAAATATACACCAATAAAAATACTACACAAAGCTAAATAAAATATAATGTTCTCCAATAGCTCTCTATTGCACAACAAACTGATGCAGAGCATATAACCTGTGCTGGCATATGAGTGCACTCATTTAACTGGCAGTGAAATGAAAAGCTAAGATGAATTTACCTAAATAGATGCTCTACTGCTGAGTAGAATAAGCACTTCTTTTTTTTTGCCATAACAGGGTTTGGAGCACCTATAAACTAATCTCAGTTTTAAGAACATCATTAGCTTCAGCTTTCTTATCAAGAATTTTCTAAGCCAAAGCTTACAGGCGTTGGAGGAATGGAAAGACAAAGCACAAGATGTTCTGCTGTACATATGCAAGGCAGAAAACATGCAGTACTGAAAACCTGCGTAACAGTGAAATAATTTTGTACAGAATTAACATCCTAGGGAGATAACCTCAAAAGATGTTTAGAATATTGTCATAAAATCCATGTTTACTTCACATCTCTTCTGATTATCACTTGCAATACATAAGAAGGTTCTCTCCTGATTTGAGCGTGTAGTCTACATGAGCCCAGCTGTATCACAGCAGTAAGAGCTGTAAAACAGTGATAGAAAACACTACAGTGTAGCCTGATTTTGTAAAAACTCTTATAAATTGTCCAAGTGGGGTGGTGGGAGGGAAATGCACTTTTACTGGCTGGCTGAACTGCAAGACAAGAAAGACTTAACCTTAAAAGCAACCTAAACTGGGAGTAACACAGAAACAGTACATACTTTATCCCCGTTTCTAAGAAATCCAAGGAAATGGGACAGAACTCCCTCTGAAGTCCACCTGCACCATTTGAAACAGGATGTTTGCTATTAATTAATGGGGCTTCCTCCACTGCATGTATTCTGTCAATGGTTCGCTTTGAAACAGCTGATATGGGTTTTCTTGATTACATTTGCATAGCTAGCCGTAAAATTAAGAGCTCCTGTTTCAAAAGGAGCTCTTGTGGGACATCAAGAGTTGATCAATAGTGGTACATCACTGCAACCCAGGTGCATCTTCAGAGCCTGAAGGTACTCACACAGGTGCATGGTTTCTAGGATCTGTAGGCAGGGCCAGGGAAACAGGAATCTACTGCCCAAGCCATCCCTAGATGTTTTTCTGCTATTCCGCTACATACAAATCAGTCAACAACTTTTTGATGGAACAAGAGGCAAAGCAAGCTCACAAATGTGGGGGAAGAGTGACATGTTTTGGCTAATGAAAATAACACATGGCTATATCCCTGCTACGCGTAGCCCACCGTTAAGCTGGGCTTTTGTAGGGGAAGGAAGAGAAAGACAGTTTAAGGTTGGGTTTCAATTTCCTGCCTTTTCCCCTCTCTTTTTTCTTTAGGAAAAGAACAGAAAGGCTGCCTGTATCACTGACTCTCGATGGCACAGCTGGCAAGATGAACTTCTTCAGGAGATGTGTTTGGTCCAGTCTGTCCTCGCATGATCAATCAGCAACAATCATTTATGCAGAGGCCACTGATTGCCTTAAAAGCCAATACCTGTAAAAGCTCCCTCTGGCTAAAATTAGAAATGAAACCAACTCTCCTGTTCCAAAAGGGCCTGAAGGAGAAATTACAGAGATGAGAAAGAAGCTCATCTTCCTTTAAAAGACAATGGTCATCGCAGCCCATTTTTCTCTCATCCGGTTACATTTCTTCCCTAGCATTATGCTAAAGATATGAAAAGGACTTCCAAGAAGAATGCTAACACAAACCAGGCACATTTATCCCACTGGAAAAATGCAGGCTCTTCCCATCACTGCAAGATGCCGCCAGTAATAGTTCCACTGGAATTAATGGAACAGCATCGAGAGAAGGGCACAGGGAACACATATTTCAAGCCCCACAGGCACAAAGGAACCCCATTATTAAGCCTAAAGCTAATGGTTTTATACTGGAGTTGTCTCTTTTAAGAAGTTACCTAGAACGTGAACGATGTTACTTCACAGAGGGCAGGACCCACCTCCTGCTGAGCAATGGAGCTCCATGCTCTCAGAGCCCCCATTACCCAGTCTCAGAGGGGAGATGATTGCAGCGAGGCGGCTGTTAACTAACAGAGACAGAAAAAACCCTAACAACAGTTTGTTCTCGTTAACAGAAGCGACCTAACACCGCAAAAGGGTGAATGAAGTCTAAATGTAACTCTCTCATTAATGAGGAATGAAGACCTGTACTTTCTGCTACCCGAACAGAAAATGAACCAGCAAACCCCACGCAGCATAAATGCCAAGAGGTCATTTTTATGGAGTTACCCCTTTCCAGCTGTAACCACACATCAGAGCAGTCAGAAATAACACTTGTAAAGGACAGGTGAACAAAACCAGCGGGGTTTCTTCATCCCGCAACAAAGACCGAGCACTTCACCTATCCGCTCGTTACCACTCCTGCTCTCCACAGCCGCTCTTTGTGTCCTCACGACGACTCCTGCGGGCTTTGTCAGTCGCAAACGGCGGCGCCGGGGGAAGGAGGATCCCGAACCGTTCCCATCAGGAAGCGAAAGCGGCCCCGGTTACTCCCCAGCCCGCCGGCAGCCGCGGGTTACCACAGCCCAGGAAGGGGAGCGGGAAAGCCCGGGCACGCTTCTCACTCTGCGGGACACACGCGATCGGGCTGGCCGGGAGCGCAGCGGGGCCGCCCGGCAGCGGCCGGCTCTGGGCCGCCACCACTGAGGCTATTGCTATTGCTACTGCTCTTCCCTCCCTCCCGCCCCGCCTCCCGCCGCCGGCCACCGGCGTCAACCGCTCACCCCTCACGGAGCCGCCGCTGAGGGGGCGGTCAACGCTGCCCGGGTCGCGCCATCGCCGTGAAGCACACGGAGGAGCCGCTCAGCACGGCGAGGCCGCCGCTTACCCGCCCGGTGAGCTCCGCGGCGCAGCCCGGCCGGGGAGCGGCCTCCCGGGGCTTCAGCCGTGTGGGGGAACCGCTCGGAACTACAGCTCCCGGCGGGCGCTGCCACAGGGGAGGGCCGGGCCCGGCGGCGGGCCCAGCGCGGGGCATGCCGGGAGTTGTAGTCCGGAGGGAGGGCGGCTTCCAGCCACCGCCTGCGGCGGGAGGAAGGAGGGAGGAGGAAGAGGCGCGGCGGGGCGAGCCCCCGGAGAGGCGGGCGGAGGCTGTGGGCACCGAGGCCAGCCCCGTGTCAGGCCTTGACCCCTTCGTGAGCGGAGGCCTCTCCCGGTGGTGCCTGCAGCTGCGTTTCGAGGTGTTTTGCCTTTTTTCGAATGGTTGGTTGGTTTGTTTGTGGTAGGGTTTCTTTGGGTTTTTTTTTTTATCGATTTTATATCTTTTAACTCCGCTGCGGCAAAATGGTTCCCAAATCTCCACATTCCTACTTTAAATCTCCTGCCTAAACATCTGTGTGTTTGTTTGCAGGCCAACAGTGTTTCGCCATTCAGTTTCCTGCTTCAATTCGTTTCTATGAGTACATCGGAGTCGTTGTGGCTTCGCTTGCCCTCCTAAGCTAGATGTGCTGAGGGATTTTTGCCTTTTTTTAAGTCTTTTGTAAAGTAAGTTCTTCATTAATCGGCCTTAAGCTGCTTAAAATAATCATTGGCTATATCAGGAGCGGAGGGTTTAAAAGCAGAACCTCAAACTGCAGGATTTGGGAAGGATGGGACTTGAATTTGGGTGTCTGGAGCTGGCATTACTGCTTAACATGCTAGCGAAGATGTCCTTGCATTCTCTGCACCCGGGGCTCAGCAGCACAAGTTTGGGTTCATGAGGAAAATGAGGGGGTTCTTCCATTTTGTGATTTTACTGCCTTCTGCTGGTCAAAGAGGATGAGACTGAGTTTAATTTTTTATCATCAGCACATGATTAGAGCACATGATCTAACAGGCAGCTTCAGTGCAAATACAACAGATACTGGTTGCATTTTATCTTACGGAATCTCATGGATATAATATATTTCATGTAGTAGGGTCGATCAGCAAAGAGGATTGTAGGTGCAATGCAGACAACACCTTGGTTCAGAGCTCTAGCTATTGGCTTGAAGTGTGGATGGAGCAGATCGCCTTTCTGATCCTTCCCTTGCCTTTCTGCTTGCCTTTGCTAACAGCACTTCGTTTCTGTGTTCCTATAAATTCGTGATCACAATCTGTTTTATGAAGCCTTCAGACTAGCAGTAAGCATCTCTACAGCAGAGGTATAACACTACCGTGATCAGATTTAACCCCCCCTGAATAATGGCCACAAGTAGCTACTGTTCCTTTTCAGAACTGGAGAGGTAGCACACACAGTGTCATGCACACCATATATGTCTTTATAGTCCAAGCAAAGATAGAGATTTAAAACTAAACCCCATGTTGCTGTTTGTACAAAACTCACGGAAGACTCTGGCCCCACAACAGTGGGTAATCTGTCAGTGCTGAAGGAAATGGGGCTCCTGCCTGCAGAATTTTATGACCTATTTTAAGAATCATAGAACCATAGAATAGTTGGGGTTGGAAAGGACCTTAAGATCATCCTGTTCCAACCCCCCTGCCATGGGCAGGGACACCTCACACTAAACCATGCCACCCATGGCTCTGTCCAACCTGGCCTTGAACACCGCCCGGGATGGAGCATTCACAACCTCCCTGGGCAACCCATTCCAGTGCCTCACCACCCTCACAGTAAAGAACTTCCTCCTCATATCCAATCTAAACTTCCCCTGTTTAAGTTTGAACCCGTTACCCCTTGTCCTATCACTACACTCCCTATGATAGTATAATAGAATAATAGTTCTTTAAAGTTTTATCTTTGCTTTTGTTCTCAGAGACAAAGATGAATGTGCTTGTCTATTTGTGTATGGTCTCGAATAATGAGAGCTGAGTAGCTAACGTGGTTTGGCTAAATGTTGAACAAAGAATTAGTCAGTTGATCAAATGTAATAGCTATTCCCTTGCCTGAAATTAGTTGCCTGCACCTTCCTCCTCTGAAATTTAATAACCATGCACCAATTTGATAGGCCACACAATGTGCCGTCTGGATATACATTGTAAATCCCTCGGGCAATCAGGTTATGAGAATGAAGATACCTATTTTCTGCTTTTTGCATCAGTCAGACCATGCAAAACAACGCTTTGATTGCAAAATAATTACTCAGGCAACCATACATAACTCTCTATAAAGAGAATGTTTTCTCCACATCCACTAATTCCTGTTTTTGTAGGAGTGGGAGAGAACATGCTGCAGCCAACAAACTTCTAATAAATGCCACAGAGTTTATACTTTCAGCATTCTGATGGCATAAAGGCCGTGCAAGCCATCTTTGAGCTCTAGTTGTGCTTCATTAATATCATACTAGTAAGGAAATATTTAAAATCTATGTCCAATGTCCATGGAAAATATAACTTGCCTTTGCTTCTTTTAATAGGTAAACCCAGTGGGTAACACCAAGCAGCAGTGGCAAGAAGACTAAAAATTAGAGAAGATGCTCTCAGCTTTATGGATCTTGGAGATACCACAGTTACACAACATTTCCCCACCAAACACTGCTGAATGGTAAGATAACACTGAACTGAGCAGTTAGGAATGAAGCTGCTTCTCTCTCTGCCACTAGCCTCCTAAATCACCTCTGGGAAGTCAGCTAAGCGTTCATCAGTGATTTGCAGTATGTTTAGAAAAGCCCATTAAAACATGTGGTGGACAGTGTGTGCTATCCAAAACACCCTTTTGCTTGTTGCTTAAACAGAGGAGACCTTGGGTCAAGGAGCTATGGACAAGGGAATTTTTCCTCATTTATTTTTAGTTTCATTTCCTAGGGAAGTAAACCATCTGTGACCTGTTTCCTTCGGGAAAGTTTTGAAACCACTCTGCAGTTTAATCAAGTTTGCAGAGCCTCAGAGATAATAAGTACATTCAGTTTCTGTGGAAATAGCTGCTCAGGTAAAGAGACCCTGGGACAGGACTCAGGGAGAGCACTGGAATCCAGGCTGTGTTAATCCTGCTGCTAACACAACTCCTTGTTAAAATTAGTTACAACATGATTGCTGCCACCCATTTAAGAACAGAAAACCTCAGATATGCTTGTGGAAGGGTTGCTTGTGCTTAGCAACACTACTGGAAATAGCATGGTTAGATAAATGATACTGAGCTTTATAAAGATGGGGAGCACTATTGATTAAAAACTTAAAGCTGTGACAACTCTTTTGTCTCTGAAGCAAACCCATTACTCCAGAACGTCATGGGTCTCACAAAGAAGTTGGGATCTTCAAGGTTAATAAATACATGCACACTGTAAAGCAACAAAGGATCATGCAGGCTTCCAGGGAGCAAAGCATTCTCCCAAGCTGCTTCTTGAGATGTTGTCACCTGCATGCACAGACTCTGACTATGCTCTTTGATGAGGGTGGCCCTGAGGTCCTTTTCCAGATGAGACTCACCTGTCTGCCAGTGTGTGAATCTGCTCACATGTGCCTGCTGTGTTGATCTGCCTGGGGAAGCTGCTGCGGCAGTAATATGTGCACCAGCCTTTCAGGCAGTAATGTAGGATGCAAGGGACAGAGTGAGCATAACCCCTCAGCAGAGTGCTGTTGAGTTTCTCTGCACCAGTTTAGCCAGCATGTTTCTGCTCATACCACTCACTCCATCCAAAACCAGATATTCTTACTCTATCCCAGGATAAGGCTAGTGAAGAGGAGGCTCCAGTAGGATACCTGTAAGAATCTGTGTCAAGGTTACCCCTCATTTAAGATCTTAGTTAAATATCTGGAAGAGAAAATAAAGAGCATATTAGTGGCGTTTAGAGAGTATTAAACTGGGAGAGACTGAAAGCTGTATTCAGGACAGAAACATAAACTACCTGAAAATGATAAACATGAGCAGAAATTAATGGAAGCTCCTTTAGGAAGACTGTGGGTCCTTATCTGAGGAGATTCAAGTTCATGAACCCATCTATTAAAACCTGGAAGTAATAATGCTAGGAGACAAAGAGTAAAGGCAGAAATGAAGCAGACATCAAATGCTGCCACCTGAAGAAGGCTGCGGAAAGGTTTGTGCAGCTGAGGGTTTCAGTTTCCATTGCTGCCCCAAAAGGAACTTTTGCTGCTGTAGAAGTGTGAGTCTGGCCACCATTCTTACCTTAGAGCCTGCTGGCCTAGCCAACCGCTCCACCTGAAAGAGCAGAGGTAAAGCCAAGAGAAGGAAGGAACCAGAAACTACTTCTGCTTCTCCCATCTTCAGATAGCACCAATGCCTGGAAGTGCTGTGCGTCTCCCTGGAGGAGGAAGCATGATCCTGCTGTGGGTCAGGCTCCCAGGCTGGGAAGTTCTGCTCAAGGCAGAATGTTTTACATACAGTAATTCTGCTTCATGCAGTAGTTGATATGATTTGATTTGGTATCCAGAACTACAAAACATCTCCCTTCCTTACTGTGAGGATCTCTTGTGATGGGTGAAGAACACCATTCCCTATAAAAATGGTCTATTGAAATGCTGTGTCAGGGCACCTTGGTTCTTCTTCCAGCTCTGCTAATAGCAGCTTCTGCCATGCCTGGCTTGAGCTATCTATAAGAGAAATAACATGGA